TAATAGATCATAAAAATTCAATACAATCTAACTCTATGGTCACAGTCAGTCATGATGAAGCGATATTCGAAAAAGTTTAAATAACTTATCTGAATATATTTGTGGCTTAATGAAAAATTTCGATTGATATCGCCGGAACAATAAATTTAAATAACTAAATAAATATTAATAACTTTATCAAAGTATTGATCAAATATATATATTATTTTTTTTGTTATTACAGACGCAATAATTGATTTAACGCAGTAATAAAACAAATAAATTAGATAAAAAAAGATAGAAAATCATGAAACCCGCATCGGGAATTAAAAATACTGTACGCAGATACCAATGTATATCGGATGGCGTGAATAACAATCGGGTTATCGGATATATCAAACGGACAATTTGAAAAACAAGTAAAAAAAAGTTTGATATTGCAGTCCTGCTGTTGGGCAATAAAAAATGTTTTTTAAAAAATTATCTAGCGGATGAAGGAGACAAGAGAAAATTGGAGAAAAAAAAGTTAAATTCATCAACGTCCGCGGTGAAATTTATTGATAGACAAAACTAAAACAAATTCAAATTAAAACCAAAATAAAAAGAATATGAAAATATTTTATCAGTCCAAACACATATGTCTATTTTTTTTACAAAAAGTCCTTAAAAGAAATAGAGAATTTATTGCCAATTTTTTTTTAAAATAACTTTATATTGCTTTTAATTTTGATGTTTTTTGGAAAAATGATGCTCTTCTCTTCCTCTGTATGAAAAAATTATCTGATATATCCATTTATGGTGTGATTTAATCGTATGTCACCCTATCAGGCTATGTATGAAAATAAAAAAAATTATTTTTTATAATTTAAATTGTAAATATAGTTATTTTTTATTAACTTTAAATAAACTGCTTAGAAGAGTCAAAATAAAGGATCTTATTTTATAACTTAACTCTCTTGTAATAAGAAAAATTATATTTATTTTGATCAAGAATTTTGAAATTCAATCGAAACCCTTACTATCGCTATTATTTTCTAAAGTATTGCTACTAAAGAACATAATAAATATGCAATGAAGATTCAGCCATTATGCACCCTCTGTTTGATGATTTTCAACGCCACGCTGTTTAAAAAATTATGTAAAAATATATCGTCTCATAATCTCATATTAAAAACAGTAAATGGACATATCCAGCTATATGTGAACATATATAACCATATTAAAAAAATTTTTACGGGTCAATATTAAGTATATCCGAACAAAAACAGTTTCACTGTAAAAAAATCGCGCCAAGTCCACGTTCATAAGACTATTAAGAAAAAAAAATTAGTTTTTTCTTTACAAAAGATATAAAATAAAAAAATTAAAAAATCCAAGTAACCGATATGATTGTTTATGATTTTCGGAAATTAAAAAAAATTTTGTTGTAAATTTAAAAATTAAAAAAACCATTTTGGAACGTATTTAGTGTAATTTTTTTTAAGTCCTAGTAAATAGATTTTACGAATTTAGTTAAAAGTAAAATATTTTGCAACCGCGCACACCAAGTACGTTCCAAAATTTTTTTTTTAATTTTTAATTTTACAACAAAATTTTTTCTAATTTCGGAAAATCATATACAATCATATTGGTTACTTGGATTTTTTAATTTTTTTTATTTTATATCTTTTTGTAAATAAAAAACTAATTTTTTTTTCTTAATAGTCTTTATGAACGTGGACTTGGCGCGATTTTTTTAGAGTGAAACTGTTTTTGTTCGGATTTTAGTATTTTTTGTAATTTTAATAAAAATTTACAATTGGTACCTACTTAAATCTCGCGTTGGCTGCATTTCTTATAGCAAACTATCCTTTTGAAGCTACAGTTTATGTAAAAATAATTCTAGCGCACCCTGGCGGGTGTAGATGCAAGTTGTGAAATATCTTTTTTTAACTGTAGTTTCTCATCTAATGAAGGATTACTATGCATTTTCGAATTATTTAGTCTGTGGCAGATCACTTTGCCCATCGAAAAAAAGTCAGGATCGAAATTTATATTATTCGTTCAGTTGAACGTTCGAAACTTCAAGTACATGAAATTTTTGCGTTGCTATAGTTTGTGCTGATTAAATTTATTAATTTCAAGTAGATTAATTGTTATATGTGAATATAATTAATTAATAACAGTAAAATAAAGTATTAATTACTGTCATAATATACAATTTAAGAAAAAAAAGTATCGTAGAATTAAATAAAATTTTGCAACCTCAAAATACCGTTCTGCTTACAGTAAACACAGTCGGTAGTCTGGCGCTCCGTTGACAACGGATTTGAACGGAACTTGGCGCCAGATTCTACCGAATCTGTAGATGTTTAAAAATTGAAATATTCAATGCATTAAATTTTTTTTTAATAGTTTTTCATCTTTAAAAAAAAACTTGCTTTTTTATTCAAAGAAATGCCAATTTCAAGTATGATTAAGGAAATGCCTTCAAAATGATATAGTTTTCTTTTTAGTATGAAAACTTACTTTTGAAAATAACAATCGATTGTCAGTTTTCAAAAGCAACAGTATACCGGTAACGCTGAAGTCATGCAATAAAATACGGCTTGTGTTTTGTCTTGTTTCATCCATTCCGTCCTTGACATTTAATTTAGATAATTTCGGGCGGAAGTTTTATAATTATCTAGAGTGAAAAAGTAATTGTGGTTCGCTCGAGTTAGACATTAAATGACCATGAACAAAATGTTGAAAGGAAGATGGAAATATTTTTAATTAAAAACATTTTTTCTCGATACGACGACGAAGAAGTATTATAAAAATATGAGGGATGTCGGAGATGAATGGAGAATTTCTGTTACGCATGAAAGTAATTAACATGCAGTTAAACAATGAAGAAATAAAAATAACCGATCGAAAAGTTAATCGAGATGTGGTTCGCGTGCAGTTGAACGGAGAAAAAGTGAACGAATGAAACTGGAAATGGGAATTGTCAAAGCTGTCCATTGGGAAACGTGCGCTCGTGTTCGTCTACATCCACGTATTTTCTCGTTCACTCTCTCTGGGTAAACGTACCAATTAATTAAAGCATTGACTGCAGACAGTAATGCATATAAACGTACACGCACTTGACAACAAGTGTATCGGAATATAACTATTTCCTCCTCGTTGTTTCCATTCTGTTGGTCCCTTGATATATATTTCAAACCCACTGTTCGCTACTTCGCTCACATCACTCGGGCTCAATCAGCGTCTGTCGAGAGTACGAGTACTATATACCGTCCAGCACACGAACCGACTCAAATAGAATCTACTGATATGCGTATTCATTGCTCTAAACTATTCAGATCTAGCCTAGAATATGCCGTTACACTTTATCTCCAAACGTCTACTGTTATTGCTCATACGTAACATGATTTATAATTTCCCTGTCTCTGCGGTATCGAATTGATGGCATTGATATTCATTTCTTTTTGAAATTTGATTGCTTCATGAATCATAGCATAATAACTAATATTCAATCGAGTTTTAAGAGTTTAATGTATCTGTGTACAGAAAAAAAAATGTTCTTGAATCAAGTATATAATTTTGAAGAACTTCATCTTGTTGATTTAAGTTAAAAAATTTTTAAACTAAGAAAATTTTACTTGATTCAAGAATTTTTGGTCTTGATTCAAGACAATTACCCTCTTTAAAATTATTTTCTTGATTCAAGAATTTTCCTCTCGAATCAAGTTAAGTTTTTTTTTCAATGTGGGTAATTCTCAAATAATGGCTTAATTTCTAATTTCCCGCTATGAAAATCAATTATTTTTCTTAATCGACGTTCTAATTAGCAAATTTTCTAACTCCATAGTTTTTAGAAGATGATTCTTTAAAATTTTTAAATAGTAAGAATTCCAAAAAATATAATTTAAGTAAACAGTAGACAATATATATTAATAAAAAGATTGATATATGCAATTTAAATATGTGCAAATGAATTCTGAAAGTTTGAGGTGGAATAAATCGAGTGTTAAATTGAATAATTAATTCTAAATTTTGGCACTTTTAATATTGGCCTTATGGAGTAATCTTTGAATAAATATATAGACACATTTTCAGATATTTTCTGCTCAGAAATCATTGACGGTAATATTTTTTATTTTAAAAAAATGTACTTAAATAATGATCAACATGATCAACTTATTGATCAAATTTAATATTTTTCATTCTGTCATAAATATAATTACCTTCCGATACCTTACTAGTAGCAGAAAATTTTATAACTTTTTTGAAATTGAAAGCTTACTTAATATTATTAATTTCAAATTAAAATTTAAACATTTGTATTAATAAAAAAATATTATCTAAAAGTTCTGACTTACCGGTTCAGCAAATTCAAATGTTCTTCAGATTACATGTAAATTGTACTGCTACCACTCAAAATTTTTGATCCGAATGACAAACATTAGGAAATCGTCTAGAACATAAAAAATATTCATAATATTATGTCAAAAAAATCAAAATTGTTAATTTACCGAAAAATTTAATCAGCAAACTTTCTACAAGTTTATAAAAATATATAAGTTAAATCATAAGAAATTTCTCAGTAATTAAAAGAGTGATAAACTGTAGCCTGAGGAAAGAAAATGATATTTTTGCTCTGTAATGTTTGGAATAGCTTCCTCTGACAATTAAGACACTTTGCCCCAACAAGAGAACTTGGCCATAAATATTACCAACGTTGCCGGGACAACTATTGCCAATAAAAATTTTTTATTTTTATTGCTCCAGAACGCACAACCCAGTGCTGAGATCGAGCAATAAAATCGTAAATTCTCCACAAGTACTGTCACTTAAAAATAATAAATGGACTCAATTGTTACAGCGTTAACGTGCTTAAATTATTAAATTAAACTGTCATGTAATTAAAACAGTAAAATTCCTTTTATTTTCTCTCTTGCGTACTTTGTAAAGCAAATACTTAATAAAAGTAATGACAAAGTAGCTTGAATTATGCCGGTAAAGTTTAAAACTTGTAGCAGTATTGGAAATTCTTCATGTCGAAATTCACCAGTTTGCGTCGACGTCTCGACTCGAAACTCGGAACTCTGGGTTACTACGCGGAGCAAGAACAGCCTTTGAGGGCACCTGTCGATGTGAGCCCTAAAGTTTCACGAGTAATTAGGTGAGCGCAGCCATGCTCGTTATGTGGTGCCGATGCCGATACTGAAAAAAGAATATTAAAAATTAACACAACATTTCCCGAAGACGTCGGATAGTTTTCCAAAGTTTGGCTTACTTGTTTTCCCTCCTTTCTTCTCGATCTAACAACTACTCGCGTACATACAAGCCAAGGCAGTGAAACTCGAGCCGAATATTTTGTCTTTTTCTTCTCTATTTGAAATGGTGCAAAATTCTATACTTGGGCGATCGTAAACAGCGAGCAGAGTGAGAAAGAAATTCTTCAACAAGGTATTGCTCAAGTATTGCACCAAACTTGTATCAATCAAACCAAACTCACGACTTATAAACTGGAATGAACAAACTTTTCACCGCAAACTTTTAGCGTGAATCCATACCAATACATATAACTACCAATTTCACCTAAAGAAGATATCGCTGAAGCACACTAAAAACCTATTCCATTTATTTATTTTTACCCATTTCCATCTTGATAAACTTTTAAAGTTTCTACTAAAAAAATTTCAAATTATCTTGATTTTACGAAGCCATTGTTTCCAAACTGACTTTTGGCAATCAAGTTTTGATCAAATAGTGATGTTTTCATTTTTTGATGATATATCTAAGATCAGGTTGACCTTATGTTATATCTAGATGTTTTTAAGCACAAATGTCCACATTTCTTATAACTAAGAAGTAAAAAAAGATTATTTATCAGCTGAAATAGAAGTACATATCTCAGAGCAACCAAAAACTTGTAAAATTATTAAAACAAATGCAATAATAAAATTTTATCAAACAAGTAGAAAAGTAAATCATTTGGAGCTTAAGAAAAAAAAACATGCAAATTACAGCTTATTTAGTGAACTTTTACAAAAATTCGATAAGACATCACGTTTAAAAGTTACTTCAAAAAGAACCATCAAAAGCCTGATAGTTTTTTTTTTTATTTTTTATTGCCTTCATAAATTTCGTCAGACGATGCCAAATTAGGTTTGAGTGTCTTGGATAGCTAAATCGGTAGAGCTTTTGGCGCATAATCAAATGGTCCGGGCTCGAGTTCCGGTCTGGGATGTCCAAATTATTTTTTCGGTTACCGAAAAATTCCTACTGAGTAAGGTCAGTGGGAAGTAGGAAAATTTTTCAAAAGTTTAAAACTCGAACGGATACCACAAAACTTCCAGCTTTACTAGTATTCAAGTTCGATGGACCCCATCAGACTTATGCAAAAAGAGAATGTCTCTCGACCAATAGCGAAGATGGAATGTCCATCTGTTGGCTTGAATTAGATTCACTAGTCACTTGACCAATAGGCAAGAAAACTTTAATTTATATATACACAGTTGGTCAAAGAAAAATAAAATAATTGTTAATTTTTCAAAAGTTTTATTACGAAGATAAATGCAGTACATAGTTAGACTTCTTTCAAATCGAGCAAAAAATCCTAATGAGCCTAAAAACACTGTAATAGCTTTTAGAATCATTTGTTCCTTATCTAAGGGAACTTGGGTAAAAATAAAAAAAAAAAGAAATTGCAATTGCAATAAATTTTCATCTGAGGAAGATTATTTTTCCCTCCTTTTTCATAAAATATTTCTTCCGTAGAAAGTAACACAACTGTGTATAAAAAACAGCTGAACAATTTTCTTACTCTATATAACGTAGTTTACGTTTACTATATACACGGAGGCAAAGAAAAATATTTCGCTGACAATAGATGAAATTTTATTTCATATAAACCGGAAGTCAAAGGTAAATATCCATCATATTTCGAATTCACCGAAGTATGTGTGGATGCAAATGAAATAACAATATGCTGAGCTGAAAGAATATATATAAAACGTCATCGACACGTTAGTTAGACCGACAGCTGGTGTAAAAAAGCTGAAGCCAAACCATACCGGGGTGGGTTCCCAACCTCTCAGCCAAGTCATCTGTTTCCTTTTAGATTTTTCTTCCGCTATCTTCCGACACCCGAGCGATATCATTCGGCTAGGCGTATATCGATGAAAATGCTAGCTCCTTATTCCTTATTCCCATTCTGAGTGTATATTTTTTCCTTACACATATATCTACACGGGTACATATATCCATCCGTTGGTACTAGAACGTGAGAAACACGAAAGGAAATGTAGATTTTTTGTCCCTCTTAGAAAAAATAATATAAAAAATTTTTGCCATCATCGGCAACGTGAGCAAAAAATGTCGTTGCTGCAAAACCCGTGGAATTTTGTCGAGCTATCGATTCACGAGTATCTTGAATTTCTCGGGTCTCGTATCGATGTAATATACTCACGTATACAATGATATGGATTACAGTAAAGTTTGTGTGAAAATGAAGAAAAAAATCGGTTCCGTGGTAGGTGTCTACGACATTAAAAAAACTTAATAAAAATTCACTAGGTTAAACGACGAAAAACATCTGCCTTTCGTACACACTTTTATTTCTTCGGTACTTTTACAAGCAAGTAGTGCAACACCACTCGGTAACTTTGGCTTTCGTCGTCGTTATTTTCCTTTTTCTCCTATTTATTTATTTTTATTTTTCTTTCTTTCTTTCTCCATTTTTTTTGTTGTTTCTTATATATACTGACTCCCGGGAAAATAAATTGCTTGAATAATGGAAAGACTCAGCTCAGTTGGACTCACGGCCGCTGGTTTTCATCAACCCTCAACCTCGTCCTTCTTTTCTTTCCTCTAACTTTATTTAGTCATCTTCATTCCATTGCCTTACACCAAATTTTATTCTATCATGTTTCTCAAAAAAAAAAAAAAACTAAACAAATTTTTCCTGGAAATTTATGTATTACGCTGCACTAAGAATAAATTTGTAAAATAATAAGCGAATATCACAGCCTACCAAAAAAGAAGACTAACTTCTTAAATAGAATAACAAAATATCTGAATAGTATTCTCTTTTAGAACCTAACAAAAGTAAAACCAACTTTAAGATAACTTAACTTTCCTGAGACCCTTGACTAAAATATAAAACAAGTGTAAGTCTGGTTTTGTCCGAGCCGAGGGATAATCACTTTGGGATCATCCCTCTTTTATTAAACTACGCCTTAGTTACAGTTAGAATTTTCCCACTTTGCCCTTTTTTACATTCATATATACCAACATTAAAAGCAATTTCAAACCTACCCAGAAAAAAATTTCTGATGTAGATTGATATGATCATATAACGCTTTGTCAGACTATATGAAAGTAAAAAATAAATTGTTATTTTAATATTCAATCATATATTTTCTGGGAAATAATTATCCCAATAAGACATGATTTCATGCCCTATATTACAAATGCGCTTGGTAGTTGATTTAACTGAAAGCCAATTACAAATAAGCTCCTCAGAAAAATGAAAAGAATTTTCAGTTTTTTAAGTACTTAATTGATATTATATAATACATTGATTCTAAATTCAATTTATTTTCATCGATTTATTTTATAATTCCTATTCATCGGATTGTCAATTAAATAATTTCAGTTTTAGTTTAATATTTTTATCAAAAAAAAACTTATACGGGTTCTATCCATTTTAGGAGAAAAATTTTCTTAAAAAACCTAATCAAATTTATTTTTTAAATGAATGATTTTTATTTTAGAAATTAAAATCATAAGCTTCGCTCTCTTGTAAGAAGATGATAGGAAATAAATGAACATATCAGGCCATATCAAAAAATTTTTCACGGCTTAGGCATAGTTTGTACGATACACACCTAGCTGATGAGTCCATTTATTCCTTCTTATCGTTCACTACAATGTTAATTACTTGCAAACATCATCAATCATCATTATATGTTCATAATTCTTCTTTCACAACTAAATGCAAAGAAGCACTTCGTCAATCTAATCTTTTCTCTCTCAGCTACAATATAATTCATTTAGCTTCTTTGTTTCTATCCTCGGGATCAGATAAACTGAAAGAGGACCATAAATAGTAACAATATTAATCTCTCTTCAGTAAAATAAAAAATCAAAATGATTTATGAGTTCAAATTCCTGGAATTTTTGTCCTCATAAAAGCTTAACTTTTATTCCTTAAATTCAAGCTCCATCTGCCGGCTGGGGAATTTATATTTGACATATGCAGCAGCCGGTTGTTTATTTAGGATCCTTGGGCGGTGGGTGGGATTTGAGAATTCCGGTGCAATACCAGGACATGCTGACGTAGGAAGCACATTGGAATTCAAGGTGTAAATCGACGAGCCGGATAGGATAAAAAAGAGTGATACCCTACTAAGAGACAGGGCAATAAGTGTCACTGACTCATGTTACTTTTTCATTTGTACTTTCACCATTATTTTCCTACTCCTTTTTTTATTGCATATATTATATAATCCTTTGTCTCTTAAAAGTATCTCTGAGCTCTTGAGCTGTGATCTACTCAGTCTCATTTATTGAGAAAGAAAGAAAGAAAGGTTCGAATATTTGCAATAAGAATTTAAAGATCCGAGCCAGTGCACATTTAAGAGCATAAAAGGTAATATTATTTCAAGACTTTTTTCTCCCGTTTTATTTTATCTTTTTTATCTTGACATTTTTATTCAAAACAGCAGTAGAGTAAGATCCGATTTTCTCCGCAGCTCATCGAATCTTCCAACTTTATTTTCATTGAATCCAATACAAAGGTAGATTGTAACCAGAAGCTCTAACCAGTAGTACGAGTAACAGTAACAGTACCAGCAGCATACCATTTACGTATAACGGGGTCTAAAATCAACAATCGTCTCGAGTTCCCAATTCCAAGCTCAACAATAGAATTCATTATACCCACAAGAATTTTGTTTTATTTTTTCAGAGCATAGTTCTCGAGATGAACAGACTGGGAATGATGGTGGATCTTTCTCATGTTTCTGTACCAACAATGCTGGATGCCATGGGTGTTTCTAAAGCTCCGGTAATTTTTAGTCATAGCAGCGCTCATGCACTATGCAATTCTTCAAGAAATGTTCCCGATCATGCCCTTCAATTACTTGTAAGTTATTTTGTTCTTTAGTTCCCAGACAAATTTACAATTTGGTAACAATTAATTGTGTTTTTTATACCCAACCAGGCCAAATCAGGAGGCATAGTCATGGTATCATTTTACCCACATTTCATAAGCTGCGGCGAAAAATCAACGCTTGCAGATGTTGCTGGTGAGTATGTAATTGAGATTAATAGTTATTAATTTCCATAATGTAAGACAAGGGAGACTGAGTTACTAAGAATGACATGAACGGGTGATTAATTTTGCTAAGTATACATTGCTCTCAAATTTTACTGAATCTTTTGTGTTTTACACTAAATCTTAATTTTACAAAATGAAAATAATTAAAAATATATATTTTAAATATCAGTAAAGTGGATCCGTGCCTTTATTTATCTATCATAATTTCTCGATACAAAAATTTCTCAACAAAAATTTCTCATACAAAAATTTCTTGATTCATAAATTTCTCATAGAACAAAAAATTATTCGTCAAAAATTTCTCAAATTTATAGTTAAAGATAAATTAAGGTTTATATAATATCCGTGAAAAAATTAGGTGACCGTCTCTTTTTTCTCACGTAAAAATTTCTCATACAAAAATTTCTCATATAAAAATTTATTAAATACTATCTTATCACAAAAAAAACATTAATTAAAAGAATATTCATAATAATAATAATAATAATGATAATAATGATAAACAAATAATAAAAACATTAATAAAGTTATTATAATGGGGAGCTCCGCCCCCCCCCCAACCCCCGCCAGGACTTCACCCCTGGACCCCAAAAATTTAAAATTTATATAATAATAGTAATAATAATAATACGAACACTGATGCTTGTTACCGTGCTGTGCCCTTTTATCATGGTTATTGTGTGTGTTAATTCGATTTTTGACCAACACAGAAGCTTGTAACCGTGCTGTGTCCTTTTATCATGGTCATTGTGTATGTTAATTCGATATTTGCCCAACACAGAAGCTTGTAACCGTGCTGTGCCCTTTTATCATAGTTATTGTGTGTATTTTTAATTATTGTATGAGAAATTATTGTATGAGAAATTTTTGGCGTAATAAAATTACGGAGCCATAAAGAAATTTTTGTACAAGAAAATTATACCGGATAAATTTTGACGATGAGAAATAATTGCTGAGAAATTATGTCGCGAGAAATTTTTGCGTGAGAAAAAAGAGACGGTCACCCAGTAAAGTATTGATGCATTGATAAAAATGTTAAAATTTTGGATTTTTTTGATTTGCCCTTTCGGCTTTCTACCCTGAGAGCCATAAGTTTGTTTCAAAAATTCGTTTTTCATTGATCTTAACTAATAATTCATCAATTTTCAAAGAAAATTCTTTCACTTAAGCAAAAAAAATTACGCAATAGCAAGATATTCATATAATAAAACTTCTTTAATTAATACAAAATCATATTCTCCAATATTAATTTAAAACCATGCTTGAAGGAAGTCTTACACCATCCGAGTTAAAATTTTTTTTACCAAGTCATTTACACCACACCGAGTTCAAAAAAACTTTTAAAGAGTGGGAAATTTTGAAAGCATCAAAATAAAAATTTAACAAACTCACAGAAATTGTTGTATTTTTCGCGAAATATTTTGAGAGGATTAAAATCACGGGGTTATAATCCTCGCCTGCGGCTCAAGTACACACGAATTGAAATTTCCTCCGAGTATACAGTGCACTAAGTGCGAGTTTATCCCAAAAACTCCCTATCACTCTCAAGTACAGATTAATTTCGTAGAACAAACAAAGGATTATCCTCAATTACAGAACCCCTTTGATTTCAAGATCTTCATCACGCCCTCGGCGCTCAATATATCTGAAATTTACACGCGAGTATAAGTATAAAGGATTAAAGAATCAATTTTGTTAGTCACCTAAATAGAAAAGTAATTAAATTCAAAACCTTCTATGCCTCTCGGTTTACTTTGCACACATTATTATAATTATTTGCTTAGTTTTTCTTCAGGGTTAATAGCATTTAAAATGAGACTAGTCACTTAAAACCACTTAGTCGTGTTGAATTAAGGATAATTAAATCTCTTGAATACAGTTGCCCTCGAGGCATTCTAAAATTCGCGGTCTCTGCGTCTTATTCTCTCTCCTCTTATTATAGTTACTCTCTCCCTCTCTCCTTTCTCGGACGAGAGTACAACCTCGCCTGGGATTTGCCGCCGGCAGTGGTTTAAACCAACGAACGTTCGGAGGAACCGAACGCAACCCGTACCTTATATTACTACATTAGATTTCTTGGGGAAAATTTCAGCGCCAAGTGTCTCTCGAGGGAGCTGCCAATTCTGCCAAGGATATTGCCCGTCGAAAAGAGAAAGAGGGCTCGTTTAAATAAGAGATAGAGTTAATAGTATATATACGTAGACTAAAGTAAACCCAAAGCGAAACACGCATTTGTTGGACTAGGCTTTCATTCTCGCGATCCCACGCCAGTGTGTTAAAGTAAAGGATATTATCTATTAAATGTATACTTAAAACTTTGAATCTCACCCTCGTTAGGTTATGTAACGATAATTCGCAACATTCTCCTTCACTTAAATCATGTATATCGCAGGTTTCTTAGTTGATTTTTATTGGGCTAATCTTCTCGGCTTTATGATAAAGTTTGAAAAGGGAACAGTTGAATAATTTAGACGCGATTATCACACACGGAGAGCGTCAATTCCATTTACCGGAATGTATATAATCTCATCGTGGAGTCACTTAATCTACTAGCGAGTCGCGACTCTTAGTCACGATTAAACCACTTTACTCTCTCTGCCTTTGTCTCTGTCGCTCCTCTGGCTTCCACTCAATCTCCTGGTAAATGTATACACTGGATTTGTCATGTTGCCAGTGATTCAATAATTCGGTTAAATTAGCCTCCCCGCTTAATTTATTATCCTTCATTTATATATTTTTAAAGATTTTTATTCAACACGTGCCTGCTTTAAATTACTGCCCAGTACATCAAGATTCAATTATGCTAAAAAATTTCAAAGTAAATTATAATTTGATTCAATTAAAAAACATAGTTTAATAACAAATCAAATTAAAAAATATAAAATTATTTTCAATTAGTTTTAAATATGTATGGAATGATTAATAAAAAATTCATTTTATTATAAAAAGAATGCGTAGGTGCTTTTTCAGATATTTTAATAATTCTTTTATTTTTACAAATATTTTACGAATAAAATATTAAAAAAAAATTCTTTTATTAAAAAAATTTTTCAACAAAAATATTTTTCGTCCGGAAAATTAATCGAATTGATCAAAACATTTTTTTGTTAATTCAAGTAAAGGTATTTGTACACGCACTTTGTAAAAGAATTTCTCTCATGAATCAATTTTTTTTTTTTTTCAGTGTATACCTATTGTAATAAAAATAGATATTAATATTCTTTTGACAAAAAAATTGATAAATTAAATCAATTTTCTTCAATAAATTCTTGAGCAAAAAAATTCTTGCCTGGACAATTATTTTTCTTTCTCTCAGTGTACTAAAATGAATTTTTTTGTCAATCACTCTATTTTTTTTTTAACTTATTGAAAATTACTTATTACCCTTTAGTTTGGTTTGCTATCAAACCGTGTTATTTAGTTTTTTGGGTTTAATTGTCTCTAAACTACGGGATGTAAAAAAAGACTTTTAATTGCTCGTTAAGAACAAACGATGTCCAAAGCGGATTACTGCCGAGCAGTGAGTTACACCAATCGAGTTTTTCAGGTATACGCATACGTCAAATCGGATTACTATTATTTATATAACTCGTTTCACCTTTTGTTTTACTATTACCCAAAAATTACAGGAATAAAGTAAATCCGAGATGGATTTTAACAGTTACAGCCCAATAACAATATATGAAAGTGAACTTCTAGATTCAGCAATCTATTCAATAATTTTGTCAGTTGTTATTTCAAAATTTTCGTTCGACTGACATATCAGTTGCTAGTGAGTATTATTGTCAGAGTAGATAACATTTATGCATGAAAATTCGTTTTTTCGATCGCATATAACCAATTACGCGGGTTGCCAGAGGCAATCGTTACTTTGTACCTTTGATATCTACGAATATCTACAAATATATGTTATGACGATATGGTTTCATATATATATATATATATATATATATATATATATGTGTGTGTGTGTGTGTGTGTGTGTGTTGTTTTTTTGTTTTTTTTTTTTACGGTTTTTATTACGGATTCTAGGCATAGTTGTTGGCCTGGATATGTGGCGACTCGACGCAGCGTCATACTAAAACTCGACGCTAACGCCCCTACCCACTAAACCCTAAACCCCTTTCCTCTTTCCTCTAATCCCTCATGGAAACCGCCGTCAGGCATTACTTCGTGAGGGGAGGATCTAGCTACTGCTCTTCCTTCTGGTGGCTAAGGTGTTAACTACCTTCCTTCTATACTCTGCTATTTGCTCTTCTTCTTTCGGTGGAACGCAAGCCTTTAAGGACTTCTGTTGCAAACGTGTTGGTAGCGTTCCAGGCAGCTTCAGATGACAACATTGCTTCCACTAGTGAATCTGGTGGCAATCTCTAGTTCAGGATCCTCTCCAGCTCTTCACGCTGTGGCTCGAAACGAGGACATACAAAGAAGACCTGCTCCGCATCTTCAGCAACTCCTTGGCAGGTCGGGCACGTTCCGTTTTGAGTTCTTCTGCGCTCAGTGTTGTTGACCTCTTTCGTTGGTAAGGGTTCCGTCTTTCTTCAGCTAGGACTCTGAGAGGTCGAGTTCCAGAAATGACGCACACTGCTTCCTCTGATATTGTGCGAAAGGCGCTAGCTACTCGTAGGGCTCTCAGTCGATATACTGGTCCAGCCTTTCTCCATGATTCTTGCTTTTCTAGTGCGTCTGCCCAGATAGATATTCCGTAAGTGAGCACTGATGTGATTACAGATGATAGTAGTAGTCTTCTGCTCTGCTTTGGGCCTCCGACGTTTGGCATCAGCCGTGCTAAGCTAGCTGCCACTGCTGATGCTTTTGCACTCACGTGTTCGACTTGCTGCTTAAATTTGAGTCGGGCATCAAGCATCACTCCCAGATATCGGATATGAGGTTGTGATGTGATTTCTTGTTCGCCGACTTTCAGCTTAATGGTCTGTACCACTTTTCTGCTGTTAATAAGCACTGCCTCAGTCTTGTGTTGTGCCAGTTGCAGGTTCACTGCGTCCATCCACTGGTTAACGCGCTCAAAAGTGAGATCAAATATATGGTTTATCTCGTCAAGGTGTTTGGCAACGATCACTACGGCTACGTCATCTGCATATGCTACGAGTTTGACGTTTCTTGGCAGAGTTAGTCTTAATAGACTGTCATACATGATATTCCATAGGAGCGGGCCTAGAACTGAACTTTGTGGTACACCTCCAGTAATATCATACTCCCTCGGAGCGTTCTTCGTGTCATACTTCGAGACCCTATTTTCAAAGTAGCTTGTTATGATCTTAAGAAGGTATTCTGGTACATTCTTTTCTTGGAGGGCCTGCATGATGCATTCCCAATTGGCGAAGTTGAATGCTTTTCTGATGTCTAGGGTCGCCACCAGGCAATACTCTTTCGTTCCACCCTTATATCTGGTTCCTGCGATTGCTTCCTTGGCCGTATCAACGACCAGTTTGATTGCGTCCAGGGTTGATCGTCCTTTTCGGAATCCATACTGATTGTCTGCCAGGCGTGGGTCGACTACTGCATTTATTCGTTGATGAATTATGCGCTCAAATTTCTTACCCGCCGTATCTAGCATGCAAATTGGTCGGTAAGATGACGGTTCTTCTGGTTGTTTCTTCCCTTTAGGTAACAGTACTAATTGTTGCTGTTTCCACTTACGAGGAAAATTCCCCTCCTTGAGACATGCATTATAGGCGTCTAGGAATAATGTTGGAGCTGCCTTTATGATAGTTTTCTAGGCTAAATTAGGGATTCCGTCCAATTCCGGCGCTTTATTATTCCCTACACGGTTACAAGCCTCTAGCAGTTCTTCTTCAGTGACAGGTGGGATGTCGTCCGATTCGCCTGGCGCCAACTGGTAATCTAAGTTGCGTTGCTGTGGAAACAGTGCAGTGACGATTTTCTGAAGAAGTTGAGGGCACGTAGGTGATGGCATTTGTTGTTTTTTCAGGTGGGTCATAACCACCTTATAAGGCCTACCCCACACGTCTTTATCCACTTCGTATATAAGCTCTTTCCAGCATCTTCTTTTGCTCTCTTTGATGGCTTTATTCAGTTCACGACGCGCCTTTTTGTACTCTGCGTGTGTGTGTGTGTGTGTGTGTGTGTGTGTGTGTGTGTGTGTGTGTGTGTGTGTGTGTATCGATGTACACATTTTCATATAGTTGGATTTTATGTTTCAGCGCATATCAATCACGTGCGAAAGGTCGCGGGAATCGACCACGTTGGTATCGGTGCCGGATACGATGGGATCAATTTGTAAGTATGGATTTCACCCTCTGTGTTATATTGTTCTAAAATGTAGGATTTCAAATATGACAGCGCAGAGATGAAAAAATTAAAACAAATTCATTTTAGACATTACAGCAGATTACACTAATTGACTCAGGCGGGGTTTAAAAACTAAAAATATAAACAGATTTTGGACTTGGCACCACAATTCATGCAGTACCAAAAAAATTATTATTTAAAAAGTTTTAAACTTTTTAACGATTGTAGAGGGAATTTATAAAAGTTATCTTCCTTCAGACATATAAATGACAATAAATTATCATAATTCTTGAACCGATGAAAACAGAAGATTCTTAGATAATTTATTTTATAGCTTGAAAGATTTACTGCAATTTTTGTTTTTATAACGTTATGATCCAATCAACAATTTCCGAGATATTGATGTCTAAAGTCACCTCTTGCCGAGCAAATATTTATAACATGCATTTTTAATTTTTGGAGTACAAAAATTATCATAACTTTTGAATTAATTGGAATAATTAATCGTTTAAGAGCTTATTCTAAATTTGAAACCTTAAGCTACGACATTTATTCTCATTATATTAATTTCTGACCAATTGTTTCTGAGATATCGATTGGCGAAAAGACCCTTTAGAAAACTGCACAATTTGCATTTCCAATTTCTGGAATACAAAAAAGACTACGACTTTTGAATTAATTGGAATAATTATTCGTATGAGCATTCATTTAAAAGCTGGTATCAATTTCCGATCAATATTAATTATTGCATTGATTTTTGATTTTGCTCAATTGTGAGTAGAGCTTGAGTATGCTCAATTAAAAGCTTTTCGTAGAGTTGGCTGAATTAACGCGGTTTACTCTATGCAATATTTATTTTATGTTTCCATAAATAATTAGCGGTTGAATATAAAATAAATGTAACGAGATGGGATGTAATCATGGGAAAGTTTCAGATAATTTTGTAATTTCACATTATCGTTTTATGTGAGGTAAAATTTATGAAAAAGATATATAGGTGAAATTCACCATGACCACCGTACTGCCATTACATGTTATGTTAATTCGTAAAGTATACAGATTTAATCTCGGAGTGAATAATAATTATTCAAATTTTGAATGAAAAGTTATTAAAATGTGAATTGTAGATTTTCCCATGGGAGATGTTTCAATGTTTTCAGAAAATGTTGGTTAGTAAAATTTTTACTTATTGAAGCAAATGGTTAATTAGTTAAAAAAGTAATTTAAAAAAATATAAAATATTATCTGTAAAACAACGAGGAATTTTTAAATTTTCAATATAATATTTATTTTCATGCATTTTAAATGAAAATGCACTCAATTTAAAAACATGAGTTTTATTATTATTGGTTTTAGTTAAACAACTGGCCGTCGAAACAATAATAATGTGTAATTTTATTTAAATTAAAACATTACAATCTATATAAATTAAAATTTATTGCAATTTAATTTTATTCCTAACGAGCTACTACACTCGACGTTTTCATCAAAAACATTGCAGATGTAACGAGTACTTGATGGGAAAACGATCTCAGCGATAACTCAAGTAGAAAAGATCGGATCATAATCTTCAAATATTATTTTTATTCGCGCATACTTTCGACTCGAGTAAACGCCAATCACGATGAATGAACGAGGCTTGAAAAAAAGAGAAAAGAAAGAATTTCTTTTATACTGCGTTAAGTCATATTACATAGATTGCATAAATATGTATTAAGAGGCTAGTGTATCTCTATCCTACGCGAAAGACGGGCTTCTCAGATCCGAGTGTAGTATGTACTTTACTTGGACTTTTCAGTATAAAAGACTGGCACAAGTAGAGGAGTGTAAGAGTGAAAGCACGATAACTGATACGAGCGGAGGATCTGGACGAGAGCTCGTACCTTTAATAACAATATATACCAGACAGCTTTAAACTTCTAAATTAATTAAATATTTCATCCAGGATTACGTAGATAAATCCTTTGTTAGCGAGAAAAAAAGACTGAACTTCTCATTAAGTTGTTAATGCTTAAGTATCACGTAGAATACATCTAATCACAATGTACTGGACATTAATATTGTTGAATTAAATTTTTATTTATTTTATTTTTAACCTTAAAACTCACCCAACTGTATGAATAATTATAATTAAATTCGTTTCTGTACCAAATTGTATTTTTAAATAAATCTAATAACGAAAATAATTCTTTAACGTCCGGTAAATTGAAATTACTCTCGCTCAACCAACTGAATAATTAATTCAGCTCATTCATTTTTTAAATATTTTAATTAAAAATTATAATTTTGAAAAAATATTTCCTCATCGGAAAAAGGTTATTATCATAAATGAATATTCAAATAGATTTAATAAAACTAATTAATATAAATTTTGTAAATCTACTTTTTTAATTCATATTTTTTCGATAGTATAATTTTAATAAATTTAAAAGAAAATTAAGTAGCAAAAAAATACTTGGATAACTTTTTTTTCTAGAAAATCAAAACAGTCTTAGTTTTTATTAAAACAATAGTTTTGATTGGCATGTACCTTTAGAATAAATAATATTTTATTTCAATGCATACACAAGTAATATGTGAAATAGACGTTGAAAAATAGATTCTTTATTACATCTGTGGAAAATCCTACAAAGGTTCACTACAATTCATATCAAATCTAGGAAATAAACTCTGTCATTCGTGAAACAAATAACATGTGATGAGGATATGCGCACAGTGCAGTAATATTCAAATAGAAAGATTTCGATGTACAATCCGTGTTTTTGAATGTAATATTACGGTAAATAATAAAAGGGCAGAATTTATATATTACAGCGTATATTTACCACCCTTGCTTCAGCTCGGTAGGCAATTTCACACGCAAATTGGAATGCCCTACTTTCCTCCCCTAGTCTGCAATCAACTATTAATTGATAATTAAGTTTTTTTAATTGGTGATTGTTTTTTTGTACGTGCGTTCGCACTTTACTACTCTAAGTGATTTCGGTATCCGTTTATGTAGTTTCAACTGTATTCAATTAAAACCAAATAAAAAACCCAAAATTTTCCAAATAATATCAATAAAATTGTTTTTCAAGTCATTTATTTGATGGTTAAAGTGAGACCTATTGTAAATGAATAAAGTTCTTATGGCTCTTATTAATCACTTTGAAGTATTCTAATGGAAAAATAATTAAAACTAAAACATCCTACACAGAAAGAAATATTTCTTGACTGGAGAACAAAATTCTTGGCTCAAGTAAATTTTCGGTCACCCGAAGGAAGACCGAAGTTGTGTTGGCCGAAGTAAAAATTTTTCTTGAAATTCTATTCTTGGTGGAAGTAATTTTTTCTTAATTCAAATTATCATAAATACTTGATACAATAAATTTTTATATTTGATCAAGATTTTTAGATACTTTAGGGAAGCAGCGCCACCTACTTCAGCTGAGAAAAAAATTATCTCATCTTGAGAAAATTTTTCTCTTGAATATTTGATACCCATTTTAGATCATTTTAGCACGCAATTATACATATTGAATGAAAAAAAATGATTCAATATTATTTGATCTTCCTATTTGACATGTTAGTCAATAGAAATATTAATGAAAATTTACTATCAAGATATTTAATTTTTTGGAGCAAGAGAAAATTTTCTCAAGACAAGAAAATTTACTTCTGTCAAGAACTAAAATTTTTGAAGCAAGAGGCTGAATTTTCTCAAAACAAAAAAATTTTCTTGACTTAAATAAATTGTCTTAGATCAAGAAACGTATTTCTTGAAGCAAGAGAAGTGATTTGTTAGAATAAGTGAAATTTCTTGAGCAAAAAAAAAATTTTTTTT